CCCCCCCTCGCCCCTGGGCGGCGTGCGCTGGTGCCCGCGTCTTGGCGCGCGGGGTCGCCGAGGCCCTCCCCCCACCGGGGGAAGGACTAGTGCGCAGTCCCCCTGGTCCCTTTGTCCTGCTCGGGCCCCCTCCCGGCCGGGCCCACCGCGGGGCCCTGCACAGGGGGGGGGGGGGGGGTGGAGGGTGGAAGGGGCAGGACACAGCGCAGGCAGGACATCGCGCAATGTGTCCAACTGCTCGGGCAGCCCCCCTGGGGGCGCCAGCCCTGACCCTGGAGAACATACGGAGGGGGCGCGGACGATGCGCGGCGGGCCCCGGCGCGCTGCTCCCCTCCGACTCCGCCCCGCGTCCGGGCCGAAGGCGGGCGCCGGAGGCCTCTCGGCAGGAGACCGCGGCCGGCCGGGGGGAGCACGACCCGCACCATCTCGCAAGGGAGAGCGTGCATGCAGCTAGCTGCCAGAGGGGGGATCGATGTGGCCCTGTTCGCTGGCTTTTGAGAAGGGCGGCTCGTATGGGGGCGGAGGGGGGGGGGGGTGGGTGGCCGGACCCGGCGAGGAGGCTCCTCCACACGTTCCCCCCAGCTGGGGCCCCCCACCCAAAGGCAGCCCAGCCGCCCCGTGCCGGCGCCCCCTCCAGCAGCGACCAGCACACGCCGGCGCCGACACCGGGCGACGCAGCCCGCCCGGGATGGCAGGAGGCACGCCTGCGCGCAGGCTCTCTGGGGGGGGGGGGGGACGGGACTTGAGGCTCTCCGGCTTACCCGGGTGCCAGCCGCCGGAGGACCTGGCCGATCAGAACCATGATCCTAAACCCGGCCTCGCAGGAGCCAGCGCAGCGCCCTGGGTCTTGTGCCAGTGCGCCGGGCCAACGGGGCGGCCCATCTCTCTCTCTCTCTCTCTCGCACTGGGGGAGGGGGGTGGCCGCCCACCGCGCCGGCCATCTCGCCGCCAGGAGAGCCGCCCCGCCCGCCGTGCGTCCCCAGCGGCCAAGGCAACACAACCAGCCCCCGGGGCCTTTGGGCCAGGGGCCGCCGGCTCAGCCGTCTGGCCGGCGCGCATGCACACTGCCCCACTTGGGTGTCCAAGGCCTGGCTTGCGTTAGCACGGCCGCCGCCGCCGCCGCCGGGGGGAGGGGGGCACGGCGCCGCCCCCGCCACCCTCCAAGGCCACTGCCATCCACTGGCAGTCTCCGCCCGGAGTGCTGGCGTCCAGCGCCGGAACTTGACGGTGATGTGGTGGAATGTTGTTTGGAATGAGATTCCAACCTCGCGTGATACGGCACATCGTCTGATATGGTCAGTGCCCTTAACCGAGTTGCCGGGATGCCCGCCCGTACGTCGGTCCCTGCCGGCGTCCGGAGGGGACACCATCGGATGACACACGGACGAGTGGACATCCCTCCGCTCCCCCCCCCCCCCGGGGCGAGCGCCCGCACGGGAGCACGTCCGGGCGGCGGAGAAAGGGTGAGACGCGCTGCGAACCGGCCGGGCGCGGGAGCAGGGGAGACGCGCCCCGTCGAGATCCCCCTCCCCCCCCCCTCCCCGGAACCGCCCATACCGGGATAGACCAATGGGAGGCCGGGCCCGCCGGGGGGGCGGCGGGGGGGGGGGGGGGGACCTCTGTTGGCAGTTGTCCTTGGGGCCGGGCGCGTGTGGGGCGCGCCGGGCGGCAAGCGAAGGCGGAGAGCCCCGAAAAAACCCTTCCCTCTCCGGGACGGGGTAACGGCAAGAGAAAGGGGGAGGGGCGCGTGCCGGGGCCGGCGCGTCTGTGGCGCCCCGGGGGGGGCGGGGCCGCCGTTTGGGTGGTCGCCACACACGTCCCACGGGCGCGAACGCTGTCGAGAGCGGGGGCGGCGGGCGAGGTGGGGGCGGTGTTAACACCGGCCGGCCCGGTCGGCCCCGGGGGGGGGGGGGAATCGGCCGAGTGTCTGTGCGGCGCCCCCGGCCGTCCGGCGCGGGCGTACGGTGTGCCCTCCGTCGGCGCATTCCGGCCTCGGCCGGCGGCCGGGCGGCCGGCGACCGAGAACCGGGGCTGCGCGCGCCGTGCCAGCACCCGGACCGGACGTTGGCCCTCCGGGGGGGGAACCCGGTCAGGCGGACCGCCGGCCGGCGCACGCCCATTGGCCCGGGGGGGGAAAAAAGGAACACCCTTCGCCCGGCCGCGGGGCCGGCGCGCCAGGAGGCGAGGCTGGCCCGCCGCCGGGGACGGGGGGCAGCGGCGGCGACCGGCGGCCGGCCGGCTGGTGGTGGTGGTGGTGGTGCCCACCGACAGGGCCCCCAGCGCCGGGCGGCGCCAAACTCCCGACGGCCGGCCGGAGCGCCGCCGCGCATGGCGCCGCTCGCTGGTGCTACCGTACCGGCGGCGACCGGCCCCCGCCCCGGCCGCCGGAGGTGCCGAGTCATCGCACGGCCCCGGGGCCCGCGCGCCCGGTGTCCACTGGCACCGGGCACCGCGGCCCCGCTTGTTCGGGCGTGTGTCCCCGCCGGCGCTGCCTCACCCGCCACCGCAGGACGCGGAGCCCAAGTCCCGACTCTGCCGCGGCCCCCCCCCCCCCCCATCGCGCACGCGCAGCCTCGGGGGACCGCCCGGCTTTTTGACCTCCCCTTGCTCCGTCCCGGGGGGCGGAGGGGCTGTGCCAACATCGCGCGCACGCATGAGCATGCTCCGGGCGGACCGGCCGCGGGCGGGCCATGTGCCGGCGGGCGTGCACATGTGTAACGCAGCCGGCGCCCGGCCGGCGGCCGCGGCTCCATTGGGAGCCGCCGGCGGCGGGCACGCGCGCGCGCGCGCGCAGAGGCCCGCACGCGCGGGGCCCGGGCGCCAGCGCCGCGTCGGCAGTCCCCGGTTCCCAGCACACGCCCTTCGACAAGCCATCCCGCCGGCCCGCGCACGGCGGCGGGCCACGGATCCGTGTGGCCCCCCCCCCC